GTATTTGCATTTTAAACAGACAGAAGGAATAAATCAATAAGCGAGTTTCAACTTCTTACCACTGATTTTTTTTTCTTTTTTAGTTTTTTAAAGCTTTTGTGTAGACTTATATCCTTCTTTATGTAATACAAAGATAAGAAGCAGTAATTTGTGTATAAGATGACTTAATGTTGTTTCTCTAAGCAAACAAAACATACAATAATAATATTTATATTTCAGCCTTTTCCAGTTTTAAAAATGTCTGGTATCACTACCACTTATGTTGAAGCTAATAAATAAGACCAAGAATAACTAAGACCTCAATCCAAGTGCCTGGATATATATCAACACTGAACAAAAAAGTTCTTGAGCTGGGCAGCACAGATTGTGGTGACTAGAGAGTTTATTCTATTGTCTAGGGGAAGGGAATGTTCAAAGTTTGCTTTGAATAAAATTGAATCAAACCTCCCTTCATCCTGGCAAATTTTCTGGTGGATTAGAAGCCTTATACTGCTCAGAGAAGTAGGCATGTCTTAAGAGGCAGAGCATGGGCACAGTGTGACACAGTGGGAGAGTGGCGTAGTGCTTCCTTGCACTTATTCCAAAGTGACACGACAATGGTTAGCTGACCCTGATCCCAAAAAGGAAAGGAAAGGAGAAATTTTTCATGTCTGTGAAAAGCTGACAGCAATAGGACAACAGCAAGCACTCAGGGTGAAGACATTTGGTAGAAATATAACTGCAAGGATGCTCAGGTCCTTGTTTAGTTTTAAGCTGTATCTACAATTGCTTATGGGCAAAAGAAGAGCTGTTTATTGTGGGAGACCATAAATTAGAAATGGAAGTGTAGAGGTCTGCAGTGACTCATTTCAGACCTAAGATCCTAGGTGATGTCATTTATGGACAGTTTGATCATGCCAGGATGTGGCTATAATTTACAAATAAGAGAAAGCGTAAACTTCCAGAACCTGAAATATTACATCATGCTTGTAATTCCAGTACTTTTGTAATCGGAAATATTGCCATGGGCTAAACATCTTGCCTCAAGGAGTGTTTATGCTATTTTTTTTGTCAGTGTAATTTAAACATCTCATCATTAATTTGGATACCAAGAAGGAAATGTTCATAAACTATCAAACAGTGAGTATTCTGCCTAAGCTTAAGACCGATAGTCCTCTTCCCCCCTTTTTGGTCACCTTTACTTACATAATAGTTTACACTTAGCTTTCCCAATCCTCAAGTAACAAGCAGCCAGTGTTGAGGTCATATGGCAACAGTTTCTATCTTCTGCTTCGTCCTGTGTTCTTGCAGATTATTTCTCACTGTATCTCAGCACGTGAGCAAGTACTTAGCATAGTACAATAAAAGTTTAACTCCACTGTCAGAGGTAGCCAAATCTGATTGTGAAAAATGTTCACTCGATGCAGCATGGACATTCCTGTTTGGAGAAGAAAACGTCTCAGCTTTCCTGGAACTCATTCATATCCATTAGCACTATTAACTGAGCTCTGAGATTTTTTCCCCTGCACTTGCATTCATTATTTTGCAGCTCTTCATCTTTAGAGGGCTTATAATCGTGCTTCATCATATTCTGCATCTCCTCCTTCAGACCATCCACAGGTTCTAACATGTACAGCAGTAGCGTGGAGACCTTACATCCTCACCTAATATTTATCTCAAGGATTCCTGGACTCTGTGCACTATCTTTGACTTTCTGCTCCTCTTTCACCTCTCTTCTGGCATGCTCCCCCCATGATGGTACATACAAGTCTATCCTTGATTAGTAGAAGAATCCACCAGGTTTACAGGCAAAGACAAGAGGCGTCAATGACTCTTCACAGCTCTCAGAGCTTTCAGGTCATGACATTTGTGACTGCCACCTTTTGGAGTCCCTCTCCCCTTCTCTGTAAACAATCCAGGACCACAGCAATTACAGTATATTACCCTCTTCTTCCCAATCTCTGTGTACCTTATTTGCAGCATTGGCTGGATCATGCAATTGCTCAACATATGACTGCAATAGCCAACCTATGGCCCTGCTCCACAGCTCAGGACAGTGTTTGAAAACAGTAGAGGGCTGGGTGCCATCAGCACAGGCAAGGCATAGCTATCTGCCACACAAGCCATGCTGCAGCCTCCGACTGCCAAAACCTTGCCATTTATGCCCAATTCTACTAGCAAAAAATAATGCTGGAACAACAAAAAACAACGTGTGACAATGTTTTTAAGAGTGAAGTTCAGCAGGAACAAATTCAACCCATTACAGCAGTTCTTCATAATCAGTAATAGTAAATTGCTTCAGCTAGGCAGTTTATGTCAAAATCATCAGATAAAATCAGTCCAAGATGAGACATTAAAACTGCTTTGCATTGCACACACAGTGTCTTTGTGAGGGGATTACACTTATTTTCACTGGCCTGAGATAAGACAATAGCAAATCAATCTCTTTTCTAAATTGTGGTTGTGTAAATCATAATATATTCAGTAAGCACATGGTTTAAATGACTTTCCCGTGCTGCAGAGAATAGCCCCAGGCAATTGTTTAAATACGACATGTAATGATGATTAGCACATTTTACACCGCTCACACCCTCATTTCTAACAATGTTTTACACAAGGGCCTGAGCTAAGGACCAAGGAGACAGATAAGCCAGGAGCTGCACAGTATGAACCTTGGTCACATTCTAACTGGGTCCTGAAGTCTGTTCCTAGACCACAGTAATGTCACAGAAGTAACTTATTTTAAACAATTCTTGGTCTTTCTAAAGCACAATTGTTTAAAAGGTGAATTAAAGGAAAAATATCATCAATCAATGGGCAGTTTTTGTGCTTCTGTTTGCTGTAAGATTAATTCCTGGTTCTTGCTTTCCTATTAGTCATAATTATGAGAAAGAGGAATAGAAATTGCCAACAGTATCATAGCCTTTATGACTTTGAATTACTAATGAATGCCTTATTAAGTATCTGCAGATTCTCAACCTGAAAGAATTTCATGGTGCACTTAATTCTTGCTGCTGCCTGCTCCTGGCAGAAACAACAGCTTCTGCTTGCAGCATCGCCCAACAGAACTTCTGTTCTCAGATGACCTTCTGTTGGTCCATTAGCATTTCACTTCCTAAACACTGTTAGAGCATGAAGTGCCAGGAAAAAGGGCTACAAAGACAGTGAGGGGTCTAGAGGGCAAGATGCATGAGAAGCGGCTGCGACCCCTTGGCTTGTTCAACCCAGAGGGGGCTGTGAGGAGGCTTATGGCAGCCTGCAGTTCCTCACAGGGACTGGCAAAGCTCTGTGCTGTGCTGTGCTCTATGTGACAGCGACAGGGCCGGAGGGAACGGCATGGAGCTGTGGCAGGGGAGGGGCAGCTGGGAGTGTTGTTTCATCGCTAAATGTTCTCAGTCTCACTTGTTTTATCCAGTTGACCTGTACTGCCTGGCACTTGTGTTGCGAATCTTATGGCAGAGAGTTTTTGTTATACTTAATGAAATGCAGTCTTGATCTTTGCATTCGGTTCCCAAGCACTACAGTACTCAATTAAAATAAGTACGCAAAATACGGTCATCATTTTTCATCAGTTCTTCATCTAACAGCCAAATGTCAATGTGCATACTTAGCATTGACTTTTACCAAGCAGCTAGTGCAGTAACCAGAACATGGATGAGAACTTCATCCTTCCAGGAATTACAGACGTTTTTACTGCCAAGTTACCAGATGAGTCAGAAAAATGTTTTAGTTAAAAATACATCTGAAAAGCTTCCAATAAAACCACAATATTATCAGAGGTATTTTAAAGACCTGGAATAAAACAAACACTATTGCTGTCACCTAGTCCAGATAACTATGCATACAGCCCTGGATTCTTATATTTGGGCACTCAGTGTCTCAGAAACATAGGAATAATTACCACAGCTAACGTTTTTACAGCGCCAAGTGGAATACGGACATTCAACTGTTTGATTCTAGTGACATTTAAATATGTATCTGAGATTTATGTCCTTAAATAATTCCCTGTAAGACCCTATGCTGTTCTGAATGTTTACAGTACAGCACCTGGTGCACAGCACATTGTGCAAATTAACTCACTGGAGCTTCACTGCAGACAGGTAATAGAATCAGAATATCTCAAGTTAGAAGGGATCCATAAGGAGCAAGTCCAACTCCTAAGGTCTTTGCTTACATGATGGCCACTGTCTTTGCCAATCTGCCAACCCACCTGCTATGGATCAATTAAGCCTAGATTCCATTCCAAAGGTTGTACCATTCATCTCTTCTGTGACTTGCCTGCAGAAAGAGATGGTAACACAAGTGCAGAAACATGCAGGTGATTCCAGTGAGTTGACAAAGCCACACTGCTTCCAAATACTAATCCTCATTCCTGCAGCATTCTCAGTGCAAACTAGACCTGCAAACTAAATTGCTGTGAGAGGAGATTTTGATAAAAATAAGGAGCTGTGTGGAGAGGAAACACTATTGAATTCCATCAGTTCTAGTTTTACAGGAGAAGGAAGAAAATGTTGAGAGACATGCCACAAGCCTGTGATCTTTTCAGATGAAAGCATAAGTCTCACAGTGATGCATCTTCCTTTGGGAGACTATGAATATTGATACACAAAGATAAGAAAAGGAAGTAATCATCACCCTCATCAAAGAATTAGAAAGAAAAAGAAAAAAAAAGAAAGAAAAGGAAAACAAAATAAGTAAGCTTACTGTTTTCTTTTATTCACTTACTAGTGAATAAAGGCCGGCAAATGTTCTTTGCCAGCTTCAGTTAACCTGCTTATTACAGTGATGACTTTTGCTTTGCACCCTTAACCTTGTTTCACACATGCAGTCGATGGCAGTTTGATCTGTGAATCCCTCTGCAAGAAAGCAGGGTGAAAGAAAAGCATCCCAGGGAATCCTAAGAATGTTTGATGCCATCTTTGTTTAAGACAGTGGGAAAACCAGAGCCAGCTTTTCTTGTCTTCCGCAGCAATGAGCTAGCAGTCTCATTTTACCTTTTTTTTTTTTCTTTCTCTGCACAGAAATGGTTACCATCACACCTGAAAACGTTACGCAACTTTACAATGTTGTGGCCACACAGGAGTTTACAATCAGACCAGCAGATTTCTACAATAATTCAAATGTGCATCAGATGAATAAATATGAATGTATTAATCCAGATACATGGCAATGGTTACAGACTTATCAGCCTGGATTCCTTTGGATTATATTTATTCTGGGAACAATAGAAAATGCCTTTGTCCTTATCGTCCTGTGCTTCCACAAGAGTCGCTGCTCCGTGGCTGAAATTTACCTAGCAAACATGGCACTTGCTGATCTAATGTTCGTCTGTGCTTTGCCTTTCTGGGCCATTAATATTTCTAATAAATTTCAGTGGCCTTTTGGCCTGTTCCTCTGTAAAGCTGTCAACACAATCAGCTACATGAACTCTTACGCTAGCGTTTATTTTCTGACATTAGTGAGCATCGACCGTTATCTGGCCTTGGTAAAAACCATGTCTCTGGGACGGATGCGGCGAACAGCCTGTGCCAAGTGGAACAGCTTTATAATCTGGATGTGTGCATTGTTCATATGCTCACCTACAATGGTGTTCCGAAACTTACAGTATTTCAAAGATTACAACATCACAGCCTGCTCTCTTGATTATCCAAGTCCCTACTGGCACCCTGCAAACAATTGCCTGCTGAATACTGTGGGCTTCATGATTCCACTCTGTGTAATTACCTATTGCACTACTCAGATCACCAAGGCCTTACGAAGTAATGAGTTACAAAAACTGAAGTTAATCCAGACAGAGAGGAAAGCCACCTTGCTGGTCCTTGCTGTGCTCTCGCTGTTTGTCATTTGCTGGCTTCCATTCCAGATCAGCACTTTCATTGACACAGTCTGCTACCTAGCAGGGAATTTGAAATGCCTTGAAGAAGTCAATGATATTGTGACCCAGATGGCAATGTACTGCGCCTTTAGCAACAGTTGCTTGAACCCAGTCCTGTACGTTATTGTTGGGAAGCACTTCCAGAAGAAGGCAGTGGAATTCTACAAGGACTTGATTCCACAAAGGTGCAGAAAATCACAGTCTGTTAAGACAGAAAACTCTCTGGACACTTTAAGAACTTCCATTTCAAGTGAATATCTAAGGAAAAAGTCTGTTTTGCCATCATCACAATAGCACAATTTGTTCATAATGGAAAAAAACAAAGAAACAACAATTTTAACATATCAGTCTCCACTAATATGCATCTGCTATGAGTCAACAGAATGAACACGTAGCAGCATTCATCATTTGAGGGAAAGCAATGGTTTGATCTTAAAATCAAACCCAGTACAGTGAATTGCTTCTAATATTACTGGTCATTTTTTTTAATTGAATCATTCTTTGTAGCATATTTACATTTTCATGGCTGAATTATAGTGTTTTGCATGTATCATTTGAAATGATTGTATTTCTGTGGAATATAAGCGTCAGAATGTACATACAGTTCTCTCAATAGAGTCCCAGTCTGGAAGCTATTGTAAGGGTCATGCAACTACTTATGGTACCTATACCCTTGGATAGAGTACTTTTTTTGATAGGATGGAGTTGTATTTATGTAAGTTTAAATGAATCCATCAAGACTATTATTGAAATGGATTTTCAAACATGGTCACCTTCTGGGCTTTTCTTTTTTCTGCTTTGAAGTAATTTTATTTACTTGATTTACAAGCTGAGCCTTCTTGCAAGTGCTCTGACTGCTAGGTGCTGATTTACATCTGCCTGTATGTATACATAGTTCAGAAAAGGCAGTGCAGTAAAGAAAGGAAGGCTGCAGCCAACCTCATGAAGGCAGTGGCGTTTTCTTTATAGCAGGAGGATCTTTACTCCTGCAGTGAGTACTTTACTGCAATGAGTACTACTTTACTGCAATGAGGTAAAGCATTCGCTATAGAGAGCTGTTTGGAGTTAATGTTACTTACATTTATACCTATCCTTCAGCTCAGAATTTTGTTTTTGAATATTCACAAAGCATAATTAATATTTGCAATATTATTTAATGGAAACAAATGCTCAGCGCAATGGGCATATTCTCACAAGAAGAAAAATATAGAGGAGAGCATCACCTCACTGTCTTAGATAGATGACTGAAGCTAATAGAGGTCTCGAATGCTAGGAATACTCAAAATATGGCATTTTCCAATTCTAATACTACCTAAATTTTATTTACAATTAGTCTAACTGATTAAAATACAAGATAACAATGCATAAGTTAGACAATTTAAAGATGAAAGAATTCTACATAGAGGAAGCTCAGTGTCCTTAATAGCCAGTAAGCACTTTTACTTCTAGGAACCTAGATCTAAAACCAAATTGGAGACAATATAAAAGCTTCTGAAATCGACAGAGCCTTCCTGTTCCTTTCAAAGCACTTAAAGTTGGAACTTTAAGCACTTAAATTAAAACTCCGAAGAAATAGAGTTTTGAGACATCAGTAAACTCAAAGTGCTAATGTGTGACCTTTATTCATAAGAGCTAGAATGGAGTAATAAAGGTCTATTCAAGCTAGGAAATCTGTATTCAACCTAAAAAGTAATTAAACACTCTTGAAGTCTGTGAATGTGCTATATAAACTACAGGATTTAGATGGCTGCAGATAATTTATAAACAATTTCTATAAGTTTCATTTAAACACACATTATAATTCTATGTCATAAATATTTCTACTGTTTGTTCTATATATTGTCCAAGATGCCTGTGATGAAACACTGCAAGTCTTACTGTTATCTCCAGTGTTACTAATATCAGGAGTATGCTGTTCCCACAACCTTTAAGTGAAACCGTACAGAGGTTATGGGGACAATGGAAGAGAATTTTGAGTATTTGGTACTGACAAGTAAAATATGAAAATATTATGACATGTAAAGAATATGACATTAATTTAAAGTATGTAAATAAATAGATGTGTTATTTTGCTATACAGTAAATACGTACAACAGAGAATAAACTACCTTGAGATATGAAATGTGATGGTGTTTTGTTCTCTAGCTTGAGTTCACTTACTTAGGAGGGACTTGTCAGAAGTGCAACTGTTCTTTCACTTCCTGTTCTACCAAGAGAAAGCAAGTTGAAAGAACAGAATTTTAGCTACTTTAAAAGCTTTGGGTTAGTTTTCTTTTGGGTCAGCCCATTTCAGAATGGTGCTGAACACCATCAATTGCTTTTGAAGTTAAAAGATTAATTAAGATGGATAAAGATACTGAAATCCCTTCAGTAGCTTTTCTTTGTACCTTTTTCTCTTGAAGCAGCAGATGCTTCTCTTTCTGAGGACTTGGGGTACCCAAGAACATGTAGGTGCCCTCCATAGCTGTTTGCAGGATGGGCTGCCTGCCTAAAGCCTTTACTCGTCTACGAAAGCACAGATACCAACAGTAAGGCAAAGTCTTTACATCAAGCTCTGTGGATTGTAGAATGCAATAGGCTGATTTCCAAGTCATTCACTTTCTAGACCTATCACATATTGTCTAGTACTGGCATATACCACTTATGCAGATAACAAAGTAAAACCAGAGGAACAGCAACTATATGAAAACTCAGCTGACATTTTAACATTGTTCAGTTGGAAGAGACCTTCAAAAACCACGAAGTCCAACTACCGGACAGCTTCAGGGGTAACCTCAACTTAAAAGATTGTCTAAATGCCTCTTGACAACTGACAGGCATGGGGCACTCCCTAGGAAGCCTGTGCCAGTGTTTGACCACGTTCACACTACAGAAATTTTTCCTAATGTCCAATGTGATCCTAGCAGCTCTGCCACTCCCACCCTTGCTATCAGTTCCAGGAGCAAAGCCAGGCACCTCCTGCTTCCCATCCTCAGGGAGCAAGGAGGTTGCCACTCAGCTTCCTCTTCTCCAGTAGATAGCCCAGTGCCCTCAGCCTCTCCTGACAGGGCATGCCTTTTACTGTCACAGCTTTTCTGCCCTCCACTGGACGATTCCAAGGAGTTTAACAACCTTTTTTAGTGTGTGGAGTCTAGGTCTGCAACACCATACTCAACGTGAGGCTACACTAATACTAAATATGGCTGACAACCACCTCTTTTGACCACTTTGCTGTGCATAATGCATCCCACAGTGCAGTTTGGCCTCTTGCCTGCAAGGGCACACTGCTGGTCTATGCCGAGCTGCTGTCAGAGCACCCTGGGTCCCCTCCTGCAGAGCTGCTCTCCAGCCACTCCTCTTCCAGCCAGTGTCTGGCATTGCTCTGCGTAGGTATGGGCAGGAATAGTTATGAACTTTTTACTGCCTGTTTTTTCAAGTGGATTATTGACTCCACCTGGAAAACAAAGTTAACAGTCTTACAAGGAGTTAGTCCAAGCAGCTGATGCTTGTTGTGGATAGGAGGATGTTGCTGTTCGTGCAGGCACTCTGTGGAGAAGTTAGGAACTCAGACTAAGATTCTAAGATGTTTAAGCACCTGTTTAGCACATATATTAGATCCTATTCATTTCACAATTTCCAGGAACTGCATAGAATTGCAATTTTGATTCTTCATTGCTGAAAACAAGTTTTAAACTTGAAAATAAAAAAACAGTAGAAAACCAGAAGCTAGATTAACAAAGAGGAGTTGGGCTTGAAAAGTGATGCTTTGCTCTATTTTGAAATGATTTTAGTAAGTCTGCATTTTTTATCATTTACGTTTTAGATGTAGCTTCCATCTGCTATTTGATGTCTCTGAGAAAACACGGATGTTGGCTGCTCTTAGAAAATTTATGTCCAAGCAAGGCTGAATTCCAAACTTCTTGTTATTGCTCAAATGTTCTTTATGAAAAAATAACCAACACAAATCCACTAGCGTAAGCAAAGAGGAAGTTATGGAAAGTTTATGACGAAGATCTACTCTTCCATTTAACTTACCTTAGTGACTCAGTGTGGGATGAGATGTTTCAATATTGACCTCCTGTAGGTTATTAGGATTCCTTACGTTGTGTGTTCAAAAAAATTCTTCACCAAAACAAAAATTTTGATTGAGATGTAAAAAAAAAAATTGACAGAAGTGAAGCAGATGGCGTCATTTGAGATATTATTAATTCTGCTTCATTTGGTTAGTAAAATAAACAAATGTTGAAATAAGTTACTGCTTAAATGGAAGTATTTGAATGCTTTAAGTCTTCAAATCAAATACTGGAATTTTTTAGAATTTTCTTCAGTGTGATTGCATTCAATCAGAACAATTTTTCAAGTTTCTGTAAATTGTACCGTAATATAGCATATTTTTAATCAATAAAATGAAAGTTAGAATAAAACTACTCATCATGATGATAAGGAAGTCTGTCATATGATATCAGAGTGTAGTCTTGCATGATCTTTTATTTTAACTAATTAATCAAACGAGAGTGAAGTGGAGTAAGAATTTGGAGAGATGGTGAATTTGTTGGGCAGACAGCCAACAAGATTAATGTTTTCAAACAGAATTCTATCATAGAATGGTTGGGTTGGAAGGAACCTTAAAGTTCATCCAGTTCCCACCCCCTGCTGTGGGCTGGCTGTCCCCCACCAGCTCAGGCTGCTCAAGGCACCATCCAACGTGGCCTTGAACAATTTCAGGAGCCTGTACCACTGCTTCACCACCCTTGGAGTAAAAAATTTCCCCCTAACATCTAATATAGATCTCTCTTCTTTTAGTCTGTAAGTGAATAGCATTCCAGTTCCTTTGTTATTTTTTCACTGCTCTTTAAGAAGTTGAAGATACCTATTGTTTACACATGTAATTGAGAGATTTGTATTTAAAAATCTGATATATATATATATATATCAAATATGATTTTTTAATGTTCCTCAGATCAGAGGGCAATTAAAATGAAAAAAATAAGTTTATAGACAATTAGTCAACGAAATCTCATGTAATGAAACAAAATGCAGATTGCATTTTGCATGCCTGATAAAATACAGACATGATCACACAATCCTGAGTAGTAACATTCACAGAGATTCATGCACTAGATAGCTATAGTGGTGTGCAAATGACATCAGTTTTCAAAAATGGTGGAAAGGTTTAGTGATTCCAGGTTTCAGCTACCCTTCCCAAACACCTCTTCTGCTCTAATCCCAACTCCTTGGCATGGCCCACCACGTATGCAGTATCACCTTCCCTACACCAGCTGGACAGGAAAGAGTTTTCAAAGCAAAAACCTCATAGAAAGTTTGGCTTTGATTGTGTTGACACAGACAGAGGTTTGGAGCTGTTGATAAAATTGCCATTGTTGCAAACATTGTTATTCATACAAAAGAACTATTAATTGCCATTGACCTGTACTTGAGACCTTTATTTATGTTCACGTAGGAGTAAAAGTCAAGGCAAATAGCTTGACTTTTTCAAGAATTTCACAACGAGAATGAAATATCTCATATGCCTTGAAAATTACCACAGCTGACGTTTGGAAAGCTTAAATAAAAATGTAATGGCTTTCTTCCAAATCACAACATCATACATAATGCGCATGGCTAGCAAAAGACTCAGAGAGCACTCAGTCGCACTCACTGAAGTGTCTTTGAATTCTCTCTGTAAGCACTGTTGTACTGCTGTTTTTCAGTTCTTCCTGGATTTGAAACTTCACCTCAACTGCCAGGAAGAAAGAGAACAAGGTACGTCTGTTTTCAGTGTCTTAAGTATATTAAAAGTATTTCAGATGCTTTTATATAAAACAAGTATCTTGTGCACTCAGTTCCAATGTGTGCACATTAGTAAGATGTTCTCTTTCACTGCACAGCTAACTCTAAAAGTCAGGATTAAGACTTCTAATCTGTAAAAATAGTGATTCATTTTATGAGTTTTCCGTATAGCTGAATAGACTCATCTGATTGCAGAATTTTCTCTTTAAAAATAATATTTTTTTAAATTGTTTCCAAAACTCAAGCTGTATTTATTTAGTGTTTTAGAAAATCCAGAAGATTTATTTAGTGTTTCCAGAAATCTGATCTTCTGTATACTGACTACAGAGTCAATGGACACAGAAAATAATCAGAAATAAGTTCAATGCAGAGAAAAAAAATGTCATTTTTGTGAAAGCTGGAATACTTGAAATGTATTAAGGACATAAACTGAAAATCATTATTTTGGCTAATTGTCCATTAGCACTAAATACTTCACAGTACTTACAGAAGAAAATTGCCTTTGAAAGAGAAATAAATTAAGCAACTGCGAATGAATTGCATTTTCTATCAACAAGGATTCTGAAGTTCTAAGTTCATACAAGTCAGTGCTGAAGAAATTTGAAAAAAGATGTTTTTTACACCACTGATAAGAGACAATATTTAGAACTTTATACATCCATTTTGCAGTTCTTTTTTCTTACTTCAGAAATGTCTCCTGTTAATTACAGAATCCTAAAAGAATGACTGAAAGTCCTCTACTGAGCATTCCCTTCTCAAACCAGAGTGAAAACAAGAGCAACTCAACTGTTTGCCCAGACTTGGAAAACTGGTGGGAAATCGTGTACTACTTAGTACCCAAGTGTATCGACACCATCTGTGTTATTGGAATGCTTGGAAATTTATTTGTCCTCTTCGTTTACTCACTGTACAAGGGCCCTCTGAAGATATCTGAAATCTACCTTGTGAACCTAGCTGTTGCTGATCTTATTTTCCTCATATGTCTCCCTTTCTGGGCAGAGAATATACGGAATAAGTATAATTGGCCATTTGGAAATTTTCTTTGTCGTAGTGCCAGTGCATCCATCCATCTAAACATGTACACTAGCATTTACTTGCTAGTAGCAGTCAGTTTGGATCGCTATTTGACTTTTGTTCATACCTTGACACACAAAAGTATACGTAGCAAAACTATAGCCAAAGGGATCTGCTTGCTCACCTGGATCTTTGGGGTCCTTCTCAGTATCCCAACCTTTACATTTCGGACTGTGAAACACTTACCTGAGTGGAATATCTCTGCATGTATTTTAGACTTCCCCACCCCATCATGGGGAAAAGCTAATCGTTTGGTATTCAGCATCGCGGGGTTTGCATTGCCATCAACAGCAATGGTCTTCCTCAATTTCCGTACCATTCGCTCCCTACAAGAACACAAAAGAGAACTAACAGCATTCGGGACAAATTGTTGCAAGGACCACAGAGACACAAAGGCTACAAAGTTGATCTTCTTAGTGGTACTGATGTTTCTTTTGTGCTGGACTCCTTACCATCTTGTTATATTCTTTGATATATTATTCCAGATGGAAGTGATACAAGGCTGTTTCTGGGAGGATTTTCTCAACTTTGGTGAGCAGTTTAGTTCTACTCTAGCTCTCACAAACAGCTGTATTAACCCAATAATTTATGTGTTTGCTGGGAAATATTTCAGGCAAAAAGCCTTAAAAGTTTTTTCACAGTTTTTCTGCTGTGGGTATTTTTTGAGCCAGGTTTCATTCCAAGAAAAGTCTTCATATTTCAAGTTGTTTCCAGTCAAGACTAGTTCAACTTCATGATTCTCGCTTCCATCTTAATTTTTATATTACAATTTATTTTTAATTGCATTAAAAATGAGCAGGAATTACATTGTTATAGCATTCTCAGACTAAGTTAATTATTTATTAATTATTAATATAATTATTAAATCACTTCGCTGCTTATTTGTCCCTGGGTTTGCTTTTCTGGTTCCGTGTTACCATCCAAACGTATAACATACAACACCAGAATTTTATACCAAATGATCTAACTTGTCTCATCAATTATCAGTGACTGGAGAGAAAAATTCTTTGACAAAATATCAGAAGTCTGGTTTCCTTAAAGAATGCTATAAACTGATTGAACAATTTATTATACTGTATCTATGGTAACAGATATTATATAACCAGTAACACTATGCAAAGAATAAGATATTACAGAGCAATTATGAGCTTAACTTTCAGCTGATAGCTGCATTTGAGTAATTACAGAACAGATTCAGTTATTTTTATCAGTATTTTAAATGGGTTGTATTTTCAGTGTAGCATATAGAAAATTTGAAGAACTGTTTGTTTAAAATGTATTTTGCATAAATATTGTATATAAAATGTACCACAAGGAAATGTACATGAATTGTAATAAAAATCCAGTATCATCCTCAAAATTGGACTTTTTTTTATTGATTCAGTAAAATGTTACACAACCATTCTTCAAGTAGGCAAGGATTTTTTTCTTTTCCATATATGATATCAGCGATGACCACTGACACTATGATTTTGAAATATTTTTCCATCTAAGGCAAATCCTTATGTTCATGCTTATATTTTTATGAATCAAAAACAAGAACTGCAATATTCCACTTCACCATAATCTTGTTCATTTTTGCATTCTTTTATCTCTTGTCTCTTTCCTTATTCCTTTGGACAGGAGGAAATATATATTTCCACGATTAAAAATCCTTTCTACTACTATAACGGTAACTCTATTTGTAGCAGTAATAATTATATAACAATAACATACCCAGCAGGAGATAGAGAAGGAAACTTTTCCATCACAGGCACAACAGTAAAACAAGTTGATGCAACTAAGATACCTGTTACCATAACTGTAGAAGTATTTGCATGTGCAGACATTGGAAGAGAAAGAAAGGGGATATTTCAGTAGGGAAGTTAGTTCAGAGTTAGTTAGAAACTCAGTAGTTCAGCTAGAAGGACACCGAGTGCAGAAAGGGGCACATAAGCACTATGTCTAATATTTTACTTAGTGTAAGTTCTGTTTAGCCTCTTACTTGCTGTAATAGTGTTTCTGCTTTGAATGTGGAATTAATCTCTTATTATAGAAATCTACCCATTCAACATTCCAAAAAGATTAGTGCATATTTTTAATGAGTTCTTCAAACTTTTTCAGTTTGAATGTTGAAAGCTTTTTTGGTGAGTTAAAAGTTTGTCTTCCTGCAACGATTAGTTAAGAGCCAAGGGTGGATTAGGCGATCAGGGAGGAAGAATTATTCATTGCTCCAGTCACTTTTCTCCTTCTGTGACAGGCTTTTTTTCAAATAAATTTCAGTTAGATATTAGTAATAACAACAGTATGTGAAGTCTGGTGAGTCACAGGATCATAGAATGGCCTGGGTTGAAAAGGACCACAATGATCATCTAGTTTCAACCTCCCTGCTATGTGCAGGGTTGCCAACCAGCAGACCAGGCTGCCCAGAGCCACATCCAGCCTGGCCTCGAATGCCTCCAGGGATGGGGCATCCACAACCTCCTTGGGCAACCTGTTTCGGTGTGTCACCACCCTCTGTGTGAAAAACTTCCCTCTAATATCTAATCTAAACCTCCCCTGTCTCAGTAAACAGCCGTTTCCCTCCTCCTATGTATACTTCAAGTACTGGAAGGCCACTATGAGCCTTCTCCAAGCTAGACAAGCCCAGTTCCCTCAACCTTTCCTCACAGGAGAGGTGCTCCAGCCCTCTGATCATCTCAGTGCCATCCTCTGGACCCTCTCCAAGAGCTCCACGTCCTTCCTGTACTGGGGGCCCCAGGCCTGGATGCAGTGCTGCAGATGGGGCCTCACAAGAGCCGAGTAGAGGGGGACAATCACCTCCCTCTCCCTGCTGGCTGCCCCTTTTTTAATGCAGCCCAGAACACAGTTGGCCTTACGGGCTGCAAGTGCGCACTGCTGGCTCATGTCCAGCTTCTTGTCTACTGGGACCCCCAAATCCTTCTCTACAGGGCTGCTCTCAAGGAGATCTTTCCCCGTTTGTATAAATACCACGTCCCAACCCAAGTGCAGCAACCCTGCACTTGGCTTTATTGAGCCTCATCGGGTTTTCATGGGCCCACTTCTCCAGCCTGTCCAAGTCCCTCTGGATGGCTTCCCTTCTTTCCAATGTATCGACTGTGTCACTCAGCTTAGTGTCATCTGAACTTAATTCCATATAATCATAGATCACAGAATGGCTTGGGTTGGAAGGAACCATCCAGTTCCAACCTCCGTGGGCAGGGCTGCCACCCACTAGATCAGGCTGCCCAGGGCTCCGTCTAATTTTCTTCCTAACATCTAACTTCAATCTCCCCTCTTTTATCTTAAAGCCATTTGCCCTTATCCTAACACTAACAGACCATGTAAAAAGTTGCTCCTCTTCCTGCTTATAAGCTCCCTTCCCCCTGTACTGGAAAGCCACAATGAGGTCTCCACAAAGCCCTTTTCCAAGCTAAACAAGCCCTACTCCTTCAGCATTTCTTCATAGCAGAGGTGTTCCAGCCCTCTGATCCTCTTTGTAGCCTTCTTCTGGACGCACTCCAACAGCTCTGCATCCTTCCTCCACTGGAGGTCTCACAAGGGCAGAGCAGAGGGAGACAAGTCCCACCCCCACCCTCCTGCCACCCCTCTTTTGATGGAGATGAAGTACTAACCTAGTTTGACCCCACATAGCTTCCAAGATGAGATGACATCAGGGTGGCGAGGTCAGTCTATTTTAAAATATTGCACACCATTTATTTCACGTATCTCCATCTGAAGCCTTAAGTTCAAATAAACTCTCAAACAGAGATTCAGTTGTATTTTTAAAGCTGAAATAACAAAAAAAAGCGTATAAACAGAAGTGCCATTTTCCCAACATGCATGGGAAACCTTAAAAGGAAAAATATCATCTCTAACTCTTGTCCACGTTAAGTATTGAAGAAAAATAAAGGAAACAACACAGTACTGAAGAAGCATTTCATTTAGTGCATGAGTGAAAAATCAGACTGAAATTCTAAATCAATGGAAAGCTTCCAATCTATTCCAAGGACTTTTGTGAAAGTGCTGCTTCCTTTTACACGTGCACAACCATTAGAAAGTGCCTGAATGTTAGACACTGAAGTAACAGATATTTAACAGGGTCTCACAAATCAATGGGTTTACTCTACAACAAGAGAATAACAAAAATATTTTTCATTCAGCTTCTCTTATTACCAAATGTGTGAGCTACATTTAATATAGCAAAATATGACCAGTGATCACAGTTTACTGCACAGCAAATACAAAATTCTATATTCAGTCAGAAATAATCCAATACACAGAAATAGGCTGCAGACTGGGAGACTAACAGCAGTTGAGCTGAAAAGAATTGCCAGATTGGAAGTTTAACATGACCCAGGAGAGCCATGTTGTTTCTGTGTTGGAGGTATACATGACAACAATCAATAGGCTTAAACTGTAGCAAGGAGTTTGAGTATTAATAAAAATCTTCTCCTGGTGATGAGTCACCTTGGAGATAAGGTAGGACCTCAACAATGAAACCCTCTGAGACCACCTTAGAAAGGCACTGTAGGTATTGTATCAGTCTATTTGGCACTGTCTCAGCTTGTGGGGGATTTTTAATGACACAGATCCCTCTATCAACTCTTTCACGTGTGGTCAATAAATAAAGGTTCCTTGTTTGCATTCTCAGGATTCTTCATATATCACCCACCTTCCATTCATTACTGAAATATCAGACCTTATGGTCAGTCAATAACTACTGCCAGACTCCATTGCCCATGTATTATCCTCTTCAAATAAGCACCTTTTTTTTTTTGTCATCTTTCACGTTACTCCTCACACACTCAATAAATACTGTCATGCATTTATCATTAAAACAATATCCATCTTTTGTAGGCAAGATCTCAGCCTTCTGAGAGCTTGCAATCTTTAACTTCTTCTTCTCATCCACCTACACTGAGTTATGTTTTAATCATAATTCCTCTAGCGCAAAACCTATCTTCTATTATCTGTTCAGATCTTGATTATTCTTACTTTAAAAGATGGATCTGCTAGCACTGGAGTAATAAAGTGGCAGCTAGAACTTACTGAAACCCACATTAAGGAATAGAATAGTCTGGGCTTGCATTTGCAATATCAAAATGTTTTGACGAGTTATTATTTCATCTTTAAAAATTTAAACTGTAAACACAGACCCACACCAAAACCATCTGATCCATTTCTAAAACTGAAGGTAGAAGATATTGAATGCTAGAAATAAAGGCAGAAGCATTTTCAAAGATTTGTATGTCAAGAGGCATTTTCCTTGGAAGAGAGCATTTGTCATCCCTCTGAAGACTATTCCAAATCAAGTCAAAATTATGGGAATTTAGTTGGAAAAAAACTGTTTGCAATACAGTCATGCTGAAGGTCGCAGCCGTCTCATGATCTCATCCTCATGGACATGTGCAGACCACACTTGCCCTCTGACAGTGTTGCACAAGTGAACTGGTCAAAGTGGATCCACTTTCCCTGTCTGTGTGTAACTTTGGGCTGCAGACAGTAGATGTCAAGGATGCTGCTTGCTTACAGTCCTAGAGTGGTTTTCTGTGCCCTCCCAGCAACAGGACCAAGAGACAAAATCTGTGTCAGTCAGCAGAACAAGAGCCAGGAAGTGTTTAACCTAAGACTGTCCCTGGGATCTCAGTGTGGCTTCTTTCAGAGTATGAGTTATAGTAGTCCTATGTGACTAAGCCTTGACTTTCCAACATCGCCACTTAGCCACTTCTGATTTAGCTCTGTCTCACTATGCTTTCTGTGGGAGAGGAAAAAAGAAACACAAAAAAACATAAACTAAACAGTACCCTCAAAAAACTATCATGTCTTGTATA